GCCGTCTCTCGGCGATGCGAAGCGACCCGGACATCTTCACAGCCCTCCTATGCCTCCACACTTTCCAAGAGTTTACCCACCGAGTCGTGGGAAGATCTGCAGTGGGGTGTGCAACCAGTCGTGCTAACGCGAAATCTCAGTCTCGCCATTTGGAGCCAACCGCCCCCAAAGCTGTGATGAACAAGCGGACTGGCGACGTGATCGGGCCCCGTGGTCTCAACTCTCAAATGAAGGAGCGCTTGTCAGTGGTGAGCCTTGAGGGGTCTGCTAGCCTGTCAAATGGCAGCATTGGTCTTCTTGGTCAAGGGCTCGGCGGAGTGCGTGATCAATGAGATCGATGCGTGCGATGCAGCGGAGGTCGCCAAGCAACACGGTACCGATTGGAAGGTGAGTGCAGACAATTGGCACGGTGCAAGCAGAAAGGGATTGCACGGTACGTTCCTCGCTGCCCTCCTGTGTAAAACGCTCTCTTCCAGCCGAGGACAACCAGCAATCTCTTCGCGGTAGTGACCAATATATCACGTTTACCGACAAGGCGCATACAGATGAAGGTCCTCCTCCGGCAATGCGTAGCCCTTTGCCTCTCGCCTGGCTTGAACGCCAATTTCCCCTAATCAACTCAGATTACCACCAGCTATTCTGGGAGGCCTGGTAGAGGGTCGCCCACCTGTTTTTGTGGCCATGACGAAGCCTTGATGTTGGTACCTGTGCGAGGCGGTGCGACCCGCTGCTAACCCGTCGAGACCGTCACCGAGGCCATTGCCCTCGCCCTCGCCGAACGGCGTTGTGTAACCACCATCAAGGAATTGCTGACATCGCACAACATGAGAGGCGCGACGTCCTCCCTCGGACCAAGACAGTGTTCAACCATTGCTTCGGACGCGACCATGTCCTTGCTGACCGTCAGCAGGCTCGGGCGGCATTTTTTTTTGTCCCATTCAACCTCATATTGATGCTTTGATAGACGCATCGCGCTACATGAGACGGAATCGCGGCTTGCCGTGCAACCTTACAGAGATCGACCAACAGGCGGCGAGCCAGGCCGGCTCCGGAGGTCCTTCACAAGGCCGAACGCCGGGGTATCCCGCCTCGGCAGAGCCGATGGCGTCTGATCACCTCGTGCAACAAGCGCCATCCTTGGCGACCGCTTTCCGAAGCCTTTGAAGATTTGCTCACCTGATAGCTAACCTAGCTTGGGGTTGGCTTCGGAATGGCCCTAATTTTGATGGCCCGCGACAGAGCTGTCCGTTTGTGTCGAAGGGCATGCTTAATTCGGGCTCCACCCGGCTGATATCAAGCGATCGCCCAGCTTGCGGGAGGGCAGATCCTCGCTCGCAAGACTCTGCTGGTTCCGGTCATGTGTTAGTTATGAGAACCCGTTTTGCGACAAGTGCGCTGCGACCGTCAACATGGGTCTCGCGTGGACGACGTGAGAGACGACAGCCGAACCCCTAGAAGGTTACACTGCGTTTCCGAGCTCTGGACGAGATAGTCAAACGACGGCATGGTTAGTTTGTCAACCCTCGTCCTCGCGACACAAAAGCGAACGGACAAGCCGCGGCTCAATCATTTCTGTCCCCAACAAGGTCCGTCCGTGTCGAGGATTGCTTGATTCCGATGATGACTCTGGCTGGTTGCTCGGCAGTTGACGGCCACCGGGCCTATTGCTGGCCGCCGGGTCATCAACTGAGGGCGGCGCGTCCTCGCATGACGGTCAGTTCAATTGGATATGCGGCCCAGAAGTTGCCGATCGGCGGTCGTGTGATAAATGTCATGCGTCGAGATATGTCTCCTCGCCTGTACCTGGAGTTGCTCGAGTCAAAGACAATTAGGATTGTGGAGGAGCACGACCAAGGGATCGGACAGTGCGAACGCGTCGCCTTGCAGAAATCTGTTCGAAGATGGCCAAGCGAATCGAAGCAGAAGGAGGATCCCTGCGAAAAGGCCAAAAGCGGGTCGGCTTTTGGACCAGCAGGCAGCGAGAGTGCCAGGAGTGGCAGGGGCCGCCAGGAACACGCTGTGGCTCCTCGGCTCACACACCTGGCCCCTTCCTGCATCTCTTGGCCGTTCCGTCAGCCCCCCGCCCCTCCATCATGGCTGGACCCTTGGCGGGCCCGGCCCCGGTGACTGCAAAGTGTTGCCTCCCCCAATGAGAGATCGCAGCCGTCGACCCAAGTTCGGGAAGAGGCACATTTTCAAGAGCAAGGCAGGGCAGCGACCACCCATATCGCATCCACTCTGCTGCCCGCGATGGAACAGGGCCCCGCATGCCCGCTCCGGAGCAATTGGCCAAAATGGTTGGTCCCCTGCTGGCTCGGTCGGCCCACCTTGCGAAATGGCACTGCCAGGTTCTCTTGCGCTCCGTGTTCTGTTGCATTGCGATGAGAGGCTCACACCTGTCCCTCGCCCCCCTCCCCGGCCGAACCACGCCCCCCCCCAGGGTGCCAGGCTCCCCAAGGTCCCAGGGGCTGTCGATGGGGGGAAGAGGGAAGATCTTGACAGGATCCATTGTACATAATGTTCCACACCCCTCAACCGCGATTCCCTGTCTCTCGATTCTCACTTTTTTGGAAATCCTCCCCTTTTGTTTCCCTTCTCCCGTCGGTGGCAACCATCTCGAATTCCCTCCTTGTTTGAGACCCGGCTCGCGCACACGACAGCACCAAACTTGACACCCTCGCTAGCATTCTCGAACAACGACACCAAAATCGATACTTGTGTGTGTGTTTCTTTGTACCATATCAACAACCCGATCAGAGCAACTTGTAGGACCGGTATCCGAAGCTCGATGGGACGATAATTTCGTGGTGCCGCTCTTATACCTTACCACCCGACCGACCGACCGGATAACCTTGGCTGATATCGCCACGCGACCAAGTTGGGACGAACCGTTGGAGCTGGGTTTCGAGGCACGAGCTTGGGAAGTGGATTGGGACACACCAAACCAGGACCCGGCACTTTTATTTTTGGGAGGCACCTAAGCACGGCCGGGACTGCCGCCGTGCAAGTTAGAACGCCGCGTGGCGTGGGCGAAATCGAATTCTGATACAAGGGGCTTCGCGAATTCGACCACACGATGGCCAACGAAACGATGTCTTGCCCGCCGCCTTTCCTCCTGGATAGTCTCTACGGAGATGGTGGCTGTAAGTTGAGAACTGCGAAGCGGGGTGCGCCTGAGGCAACGGCTAACTTGGCGTTGCGCTGTAGTTTTGGAAGGACGGTTGTGTCAGGCGCTTGGCGATATCACTTGCTGTCTGCCATGCCCCCTCACAGACTGGGCGTATCCGGATAGCTTCCAGACCATGACCGAAGGGGCGAACTGGGTGGCTGTAGCGAGCACCGTCTGCTGCGTTTTCCTCCTTCTCTCGTGGGCTGTGCTGCCGGTCGAGAAGACATATAGGCATTATCTGAGCATCTGTCTCACCGCGGGAGTCATGTTCATGAATGTAGGCCACGCCTTCTCGCATCGCCCGCCTTCTAGGCTGATACTAACTTGCTCGCTAGCTTGGTTTCGTTCTCCCGCTCGCCGGCAACCCGGAGCAATGCTTTGACGACATCACGCCGAACTCGATGAGGACGGGTTCGTTGTGTGCGGCTTCGGGCTTCTTCCTCATCATGGGTGGCTGGGCCGGTGTGATGTGGATCTTCTTGCGCGCATTGTCCCTCCACCTCCAGATCTGCTGGCAACTGGTTGTTGGGCGGAACTTCATGTGGTTCGCTCAAGCTGTTGGCTGGGGAATCCCGGTCATCGGAGTTGTCATCGCCTTCATCCTCAGCGGTGTGTCGTTCCGCTTTGGGCCTACATGCCACATCAACCACAAGAACAGCTTGGCCGATCTCTGGATCCCATTGCTAGTCTTCGCTGGCTTGACTATCATTATCCAGTTCGCGACCTTTGGCTACTGCATCAAGGTCTACCTCGCCTCGCTCGCCGACAACAGCGCCTCGACCGAGGGTTCCGGCATGCCCTCATACACGAACAGCATCCGAACCATGACTCCGAAGCAGGCCTACCGCCGTGTGCGGCGCGTCATTGCTCTCCAGTGGAGAGGTATCGCTATTGTGCTCATCATCGTCGCCGACGTCATCTTCTTTTCCATCATCTTTGTCTTCCAGGACAACACGGTGGAGGCCGTGAAGCACGATCCCTCCATCGCACTCCCCTGGATTATCTGTCTGGCGAGCAACGGGGGCGACAAGACATTGTGCTTGGACGAAGCGAGCGGACTCGTCGTGAACATGGCGACGATTGGCGCCGTTCTGTTCCTCCTAGCGGTAAATTCCCTACTGTTCCCCTGTCCCTTGGAAATTCCGTTGCTGACTGTCTCGTGATTAGATCAACGGCATCTGGCTTCTCCTCCTCCTCGGCCGCTGGTCTATGGTCACTGGCTGGCGTGACCTGTTCACAGCGGTCCCTCAACGGAGCAAGAGAGAGTTCGTCTCAGTCGATGCGCGGCTGGACGATCTCAAAAAAGATACACGTTCGTACGAGATGCTGTCCCGGGACACCGGGAAGACCATGGACGATTCAGTAACACCCTCCGTAGTGACCCCCATCTCCCCGACACACGCGAGGTCGCCGACGGGGAGCCCGATAAACCATGATTATATGCAAATGCCCAATCCCGACGGACGCCGGACTCCTGACTATTTTGGAAATACCGCTCGGTATCACACTCCTGCGCGGTCGTTCTCGAGCCCGCGCCCACCCCAACAGACAGTAACGTGGGATGCCCGGGAAACCTACGCGAGGCCGACATCGCCGCCGTTCACACAGCAGCAGAAGGATCGATACGTCAACCCGCTGGGCATGAATAGGATATGAGATTTACGACGCCACACGAAATGTTCTTCTCTTCTCTTTCTCCTTCCGATAATACAACCGATAGCGAAAGAAGCATCGGTCCCAAGTTTCCCCCGGAAGTTCCGTCTCATCGACAACCTTCACCACCGAACGAGCGCTCGCCGAAGCGTATATATGGCAGTGTCTCGCCCCTGATCTAAATGTTGGAACTGCGAATCTTGCGACACCTATCGATTCACTTGCCACGAGTTTACGACCGATCTCCAAGAATTTGTGTCGCATATCCCTAGATTTTGCAAAGGATAGATTTGGGTTGGTCGCGTTATCTCGAGCAAAAACCTGGTCTGGTCGGGGTTTCACCAGGCTTGATGATCTGAATCATTCGGGATCCGGGGCAAACAGACATGCTCGGAACGGGTTGGCTGGCGTCGGAGAGATATACCAGAAGCCAAACGACTTACGGGCTCTGCGGATGTCTCGGGACGACTCAGTGCGGGTTGGGTGCGACGCTAAGACGCCACCCCGAGACGGACTTTTTAGCTCACCATCTTCGCCCCCGCACATATCACGTAGCGCCGGGTTATCGGGTTTCTGGATATTCAAAGTGTCGGTCGCATTGTCGATGGCTTTTATACCGGACGCCTATTGGCGGCGGTGACGGTAAAAAAAGCCGCGGTATCCGAGGCTTCCGGTCACGGGTGTTGAATGCGGGAAGCCCGGGATGCTTTTGGAACGGTAGACAATGGACGGGAGCCCGGACAGGCCGGATGAACCGGTTCGGCTTTGGGTTCGCACCGGCGCTGACTTCTTTTTGTTCTCTGCGGTGGAGACCCTGTGTACCATATATAATTCCTCAGGGCATCATCGCCCTGGGATGGTCTGCAGTACAGGGGCTGGGACTTGGTTAGACGGCGGTCGCAAGTGCTTTTCAGATACCAATACCTTATATTTCAATGCCGCTGGGTATTTTATACATTGCATTCCACTCACTCCCTGCATTCAAATAATCGGTCTATACTTGCCCGCTCCGCTGCTTTCGACAAGAACATACACAAATTCGGGGGCGGCATTTGGTTAACCCTGACTGGATGGGGCAGTCCGACTGTGCCGAGTAAGTCACGGGCTTGGTGAAGCCGGCAGCCTATACTGGGGAACCACTCCACCGGGTCTAGCGCATCGCACTTACACGGTTCCTATGTAGGCAGCTATCGTCGGACTGACTGCGGGCGGGTCGGCGTCAAGTAAGCGGCCAATCCTCTTCTCTAACTCTTTTGTCGTCCTTCGTCCTTCGTGTTTCGTTCCTCGCTTTTCGTGTTTCGTTTTTCGGAGCCTGCGGGAAAGCGTGGGCATGGCTTCCCTCCCTTTTTTTTCTTTATCTTTTTCTTGGTGCCAGGCCGGCGTATAAATATCTAGGATGGCCGATATGGCGAGTTGCCCGGGGCTCTGCTCTAGACTGCACGCTTTCAGATAGAGACGGCTTATGACAACAATACAGATTCACAACTGAATCCGGGGATGGGCATTATAGAAGCTAATGTTTAATCAACGCGAGCGAAGAACGCTATAATCAGTTACCTAGGTCGCCGGCTTCTCCCGTCATCATCCCTTTCACCTCGACCTAGAACTCGGTTGTACGAAGGAGGGAAATTGCGCCCTTATTTCTCCATCGGTTCTTCCATTTCTAGGTCGCTGCTGTCAAAAGATCAGGACCTACCTACCTGCAGTTGCGGCGCGCCCAATCCCGGCTTGATTGGGGGTTCAGCTCACCAACCCGGGCCTGCCAAGACCCGCAACTGCCCCCCGCGCCTCAAGCCTTAGCGAGCTCCGGCCGCCGTTACCCCCGGAACCATGTTCTTCCTCCCTCGCAGGAAACGCCCGGGGATCGTCCTCCCAATCTCAACATCAACACCACCACCACCACCACCACAACCACCATCACCAAAATCACAACCGCCATCATCAACCCCCCGCAACCTCATCCGCCGCCTACTCCACCTCAAACGCCGCCCAATGTTTCCCGTGCTCCTCCTGCTGGGCGCCGCCCTGGGCGCCCTCCTCGTGTACCTGTACCGAGCCGAGTCCCGGCTCCGACTGCCCTGGGTGCCCGACGCTGAGGCCCGGCTCTTCGCACAGCGGCCCTTGCCGCCCCCGCTCGACGACACCTTTCTCTCCTCGCCAAACTACACGCTGCCGCTGCGCACGCGGGGGCGCGACGTCATCGACGCTCGGGGCCGCCGCTTCAAGCTGGCGAGTGTGAATTGGTATGGTGCGTCGGATGAGTTGTTCGTCCCCGGGGGGCTGGATGTCAAGCACCGCGATGAGATTGCCCGGATGGTGCGCGTTCTGGGGTTTAATTCCGTGCGTTTGCCGTATGCGGATGAGTTGGTCTTGCGGAACCCGGTCGTGGCGCCGCATTTGTTGGCGGCGAATCCGGATTTGGTGGGGCGGAGGGCGATGGATGTGCTGGAGGCGGTTGTGGATGCGCTGACGCGGGCGGGGATCGCGGTGATTGTGAATAACCATATCACCAGCGCGACGTGGTGTTGTGGGGCGGATCCGTGTGATGCCGGGTGGGCGAACGACCACCTGCCGTCCATGATGTGCCGGGTGCGGCAGACGGAGGAGGAGTGGATCGAGCACTGGGAGGAGGTGATGCGGCGGTTTGTGGGCAACCCGCTTGGTGGTGGGCGCCGACCTTCGCAACGAGGTGCGCGGCGTGTGGTCACCATGAAGTGTGAACCGTTGGCGACGGCAGTCGAGCGCGCAGGCATCCGCTTGCTCAAGATGACCCCGGACTGGCTGATCATTGTGAGGCGGAACCGAGTCGCAGAACGACCTCACAGGCGTGGCGGGGCGGGCCCTTCGTGCTCGACTTGCCGCACCGCGTCGTCTACTCGGCCCACGTCTATTTGTGGAGCGGCTGGGGCAGCCTCGGCGGCCGTTACGCCCAGCGCACATTATCCCAGTTTCGTCCAGTCCATGCAACAAGAAATTGGCCCTACCTGTTCGAGGGGCGACATCGCGCCCGTGTGGGTGGGGAAGTTTGGTGCCCCCCCCAAACCCCGGCCAGGGTGATGCCATTTACTGGCGCAACTGGATGCGCTCCCTCAAAGCCCATTGATGCTGATTTTGGTTACTGGGCCATCACCCCGCGCAAGCCCAAGGACGATGAGAGGGAGTGTTCTCCCCTCGTTGAAGATGATTGGGCTACGCCTGTGTTGGATTACCGGATGAAGGATATGCCGGAGCTGATACGGGCGGGGGCCGATGAAGGGGGTAGAGAGGGGGAGAGGGACAGGTAGCTGGATATCCTCGAAAAGAGGTTCGAGTTGGGGGGGGGGGGGGGGGGGTTGGTTTAGTTTCCGTTTGGCGCTCGGGTGTTGCATGTCTTCCAACTCTGGGGGTTTCTTTTCGAAAACAAAACTCATGGCTCTTGGTAACACTCGGCAACTCTCACGAGGAGAGCATGGAGCCCAGGCGTTGTGGGCTTGGTACATACATACATAGATGGGGACCCGGGCGTTGTTGGGTTGGTTATGATAGGGTGGCCCAGTCTCCCTACCTAAGTAACGAACGGTAAAACTGTATTTTTGTTATTCCCACTCGATACCATCCAGCAGTCTCATAAACCTTACGTACCTACCCAGATAGAATTGGGTTCTTCAATATGGGAGGTACCTGATACATACATACTGTGCAGATCACATGATCTTGTGGCCAAATTGAAGCCAATGCAGGGCCACTCTGACTTCTTGCCACATGCCACATCCCGCATGGGCCTCTCTCATCGATTACCTTACCTAAGGTAGCTCAGACTCGCCTCATGAGCTCCAACATCACATCTTCCCTTCTGCCATCAAACATCAAAACACCACTGACTCACTGTGCATCTCCACGCTACCGATAGTATATATATTTCGAGGGGCATACCCCAAACATAAGACACTTTGAAACTCACAATTGCATTCCATCAGTATCACTATCACGCAACATACATACGTCTGCGAACAAACAATGGCCGACGCATACTCATCCTCTGACACTGAACTCAATCCTCGCAATAGACTGACGGATGTGAGTGAGACAGCTAAAAGGCTTACTAAGTTCCTCGGCGGCGAGCTCTATGTGAGCCCGACCGCTTTTGTCCAGACTGCCGAGAATCGGGTAAGTAGGCTCTTGAGGTATTGAAAGCTGTTGGAAGGAAGCATTCGGCTGTCTCTGCATCGCCGTCTATCCCGGCCATGTCCTCGCTCCAAGTGGCTTCGGCTAACCGGCTCGCACGAGCATAGTTCGGCTCCGCCGTTCTCGAAGACCTATATGCGTTTGTCCACGGGACACCCGAGGGACTTTCCGAGCCGATCGACCAAGAACCTGTGAATGACGAGGAAGACGGAGACGATGAGTCTGAAGACGAGCTCTTCGATCAAGCCGCGAATGAATGGGCTCCGCACCCTGATATAGGGCTCGAGACCCACCATGCGGAACACGGCTTCCCGAGAATCGCGGTCCTGAGGAATAACCTCACTGCTCTTTCACAGCGGTACAACGTAAGTCACCTAGCTAGACGTGAGAGTTATACCAATTCTGAGCCGAGTTCACTATACAGCTTTATTTTGCGGCCTATCAAGACCGAATCTACGTATATCAACCGCGCAGGACCAGCCCCCAAATCCTGCCCCCTCCGACTCTTATTCTCCATCCGCAGCCGTCTAAATGGGCCCGGCGATGGCCCCAGGGGATGGACCACCGTTTTCCTCACCAGGTCAACCATATAATCGTGGGGAACCTGGGGGACTTCGAGATCGTCCTGTTGGCTTACGACGACGGCGACACGCTGGCGTACTATACACACAGCATCGTCCACCACATCACGCAGAGCAGCGACCGCACGCGCAGCCCCGGCGCCTCCTCGACCTCTAAAAGGAGGTATCCGAAACCCTTCTTTCACGACAATGTGGGCGAATCGGCTTGGGGACTTGCCGTCCACGAGAAGTCCAGGTTGATTGCCGTCAGTTCGAACCTCCGCGAAGTTACCGTATTCGCCTTTGCGCTTGCCCAGCGAAATGGATCCTCCCTGCGCCGCACCGAGCACCGCCCCATTCCGGCACACTCTCTGCTCGGGGTTCAAAAAGACCTCCGCTCGAGGTCGAGGGAATGGAGAATCGTCCTCCCGCTCAACCCCGACGGCGGCAATATCCCCAATGTGTCCTTCACGGATGATGAAATGGGCGACGCAGAAAAGGTCGTTGCTAGGGACGTCTCGGGAGCTCTGTGGTTCTTAGATATCTGGAGACTCGGCGTCCCCCACGTCCGGTGGCGCGACACGTATGGGAAACCGCGACTGCCAAACCTGTATGTATATGGGTTTGGTTGCCCGCCATGTATTGAGGCTAACTATAACTTTGCAGTTATAACGGCTGGGGCGTGCTGGTGCTTCCCTATAGCAGCTTCCGGCCGACGAATTCGAGCAGCGAAACGCTGGGCATCCCCAGGAACCGGGTGGTTGTCCTCAGGAGAGACATCCGCAGCCACAGGATATATCTGGATGTACATTACAGCACATGCCTGGATATAACCTGCAGCCTGTACTACCTGAAGGGGTTCTCGCCGAGCTTTGAAACCCTGCACCAGCTGGGCCAGGGTCCCTTTCAATACTCGACAAAACACAAGTTGTACGGGCACGGAACTTCTCAAGAGGACGAGGAGGACGAGGTCGACGACGAGAGCGAGAGCGAGCTCGACGGTGAAGGGAGCTCGCAAACGACAAGCGAGCACACAACCATCACGGTGCCAAACCGCGATTTGACCATCACTAACATAGCCCACGACAGTTCATTCGTTGAGAAATCCTATCCTAAAGCGCCAAGGTTCCAGTTGGCCGGGTGTATCATCCCCAACCCCTGTGAACTATTGATACTCGACGACGGCCCCGACCAGCGTGTCACCTTCGCCCGGTATTGCAGGGTGCTGAAGCGCGTGATAAGCGTTATAGAGTACGCCACGGCCGGGGACCTCCCCCGCCACCTAGCCAGGACGCACGGCCTGCTACGTGCCTGCACCGGCGACGTGGCGTTCCAGCCCTTCGACCTCGCATCACCATACATCCAGTTCCGATTGCTCCTCACCGAGCAGTGCCACCCGGTCCCCTCCGCCCAGCCCTGGGACCTGCACCCCACGTACGCGGAGCGCATCAACATGCTCCACCACGTGCCCGAACTGAGCCTGGTCGTCGTCGGCTCGGCCATGGGGCGCGTCGCCCTACTCACTCTAACCAAGGGCCCCCGCTGCCCCGGCATGGGCAATCTCCGGTACGGCTTCCGCGTGGACTACATCCTACCGCACAAGTTCGAGGAGGCCGCGTCCGTCGCCGGCATCGGCGGGAACGGGCGCTCCGTCCAGCCCTTGTGCACCCTCATCGGCGTCGCCATCGGCCCCGCCCCGCGCGGAGCCGGGCTGAAGCTGCCGCCCCCGGACATCGACGCCAACGGGAATGCAGTGTCCCGTACATACCGCCTGATGCTGCATTATAAGGATCATACGATCATCATGTATGATATCAGGCGGGATCAGGAGGAGTTGTTGGTTTTCTGAGTTGGCACTGCGGAAGAAGTACCGTGCCCTCCCTGGATGGCGGCGGGCCGGGTGCGGCGAGTTCGGAGCCTCGTCTAGGACGGCCGTTCAACGTGCGGCACGGTACTTTTTGGATGTCGAGTTGCCCCGGGGGTGTCTTGTACGGCTGGACTGGGAGGAGAGCCCTGGGGGAGGTCGGCCGAAAGCGCTGACGGAAACTCGACATCCACGCGGGTCGACTGGGTTGGCTTTCTTTTTGGGGTTGGCTTGTCTTTTTGGTTTTTTTTTTTTTTAGGTTTTTTTTTGGTTATCTCTCTCTGGGTTATCTTTTCTTTTGGGGGGGCGGTTGGGTTTCACTTGTCTGGTTTCAAATCTCGGGCTCTCCTTCACTTCATTCCTAGGCTGTTTGGCGTGGCGTAACAATGGGGCGGGTTGGGTGGAAGGATGGCATAGGTTGACAATATTCTGGTTCTGCATTTCTAAACTGGATATGTCTCTTTATTTCTCTTTTTTTTTTTTTTTTTTTCTTTTTTTCCCCTTTTTTTTTTTATTTTGTCTTTTTCAATTTGGATATAGGTAGCGGGTGGCTTTGGATGGCATTTTTTGGAGTCGGGATGGATTCGGGGGATGGATGGGTAAGGTCAGGTTAAGAGCATCAGCCGGACGCATTCTCGGAGTTCTAGGCAGGCATACAGGCAGACTTAGCCACCACCACCAGTGGATTTCTCTTGACGAGCGAATAACAGGAGCTGTTTTCTTGATATTTGATAGCGGTGGCTTACCTACCTACTTTCTTGCAGCACAACCCACTCAACGGTGGGTGTGTAAAAACCGCTGTACAAAGCATACTGCGCTGTCTGTCCCATACATCCATCCACCCAAACCTAGACAATAGCCCCTCGGACATGTCGGCATTAGACCTCGGCTCGATCTTGCTTCGACCGTCCCTGAGACAAAGACCGTTGACCGGAACAGTGGTCACAGCACCTAGCGCAGCATGTGATGGAAAACCTCGGCCTGTATGTAACTTTTGCGAACGAAAAAGAAGCCGCGTGGGGTGCGCTCAGGACCGCGCTTGTCATGGTGGTTAATGGGCTCGGTCGCCTCACCGAGAGCAGAGGTACTCGTGAGTCCCTCCTTGCTAGCCGACGCCCTGATCTTGATCTTGAGCGGGACGAAGCGGGATTACGAGGATGGTTTCGCCCCCCAGACTTGCTAGAATCGAACCTGAACCGGAAGGCTACAGCCGGGGAACGAGATTGGATCATTGATTCATCTCCGCGCTGACGGCTACAGTGTGCTATTCTTCGCCTGTCTCGTTGTCGGGATGTCCGATTCTTGAGACCCACGTCTTCTCATCAACAATGGTCCATATTGGGGGTATAGCGGGTACGAATACCTCCCTGGGCACGTATTGCGGATTCCCATCGATGGATGTACATACAAGTACATCCTCCCCAGACACGCCAGAGTCGGGCTTTCTTACCAACGAGGCGGTCCGAAACCCCCAGTGCTCCGCCGGCTTCGGCAGTGGAAGGGACGGAAATGCATGAAATCCACCGCGTGGGGACCGGAATGCACCGTATCTCCTTATCGAATAGGGCTGGACCACCCACGGGGCCCGTGACAGTGGGAAAACATAAATAAATGCCAAGTCCTCCCCCCTTCCCGTCCCGCCTGAAGGCAAGAACTTTCGAACGAGACGTCAGGCAACATTTCTCAGCTCGCTTCGACCAGGCCGCATAACCGCGCGAAGGTTGATTGATGACGGGCGTTCTCGGGCTGCTGGCTTTCGGTGGTTGTGTGGGCGGGGAGGGAGGCGAGGTTGGTTGGGTTTCCTGCCGCCGTTCATTGGGCCTTGACGACAAGCAGATAAGGCCTATCTCTTGGCAGAGCCGGTTCCCGCTTCCCTCGGAGAATCGCCTACGGTACCCAGAGCCGGGGTCAAGGGTGTTGCAACCCGAAAAGAGCATGCGACAGGAGGGAAGCAGATTCTGCTGGTTTTTTTGACACCGGGGTTTTTGATGCCATTGCGGGAAGAGTTGAGAATGGCATCGTATTTTTATTGGACTCATTCAAGTCAGGCAGAGAGGGTCGACACCGTGTTTTCGGTCCAAAATCATCCAGTTTCTAACGATCATTCGGCCTTCAGGGTTCGGTGAGTCTTGAATTCCAGCTTCAAGTCTCGGAGGAATCCATAAATTTCAAGAGGCCGCCGGACTTGTCAATATTGTGGCAACTGATTGAAACGATTTGCAAAGACCACTCAGCAAACAGTCAGTCAGCGCAGTGATTCAAATTTCCTGTCCCAGAACCGGCGACTCCACTTGATAAGCTGCACCAGGGCTCCCCGGCATGAAACGCGTGGAAGATCTCGAGAAAAGAGCGGGTCGACAGATAAGAGAGATCCGGACTCGTGATTCGCCTACGAGTCCCTCCCGCTTGGGTTGGAGGCTGCCACTCCAGAACCCCGGACTGAGCCTCAACAGAAACGATTTCGTAACAGAAACTCATGGCCCCACGCTTCCCGGCTTGGCCTCTGGTTCGACGGCTGGCGCTTCGCTGCCCCATTCCAGCCCCATGCGATCGGGAAAAACCGCTGTTGGGCACCGGGTCAACTCGTCATGCCCTGCCGTTAGCGGACCTTGGAAGCCTGATGGCATTGACGAGGGCGGTCGAATTGCGGGGGCAGACTCTCCGATTCAGGGCGGGAGGGCGGTCGAGAGGGTGTCAATTGGGCAATCCATTGCCTTTTTTTTTTTTTTTTTTTCGTTTCTCGCGGCAGTGGGATGATGTACTTTGAATTCTCAGCTGAAAGGGTGGTGTGCCAAGGTTACGGCAAGGCGAGTCGCCCTGCAGCAAGACCCCCGACCTGATTGCCAAGATCCATTGGTCAGTGGGGATGGGAACAAACGATTTCGACCACTTTCAACTCTCAACCTAGGTAGCTATCTCAATTCCATGCGATCGGGTGACGACATCGACAATGCAATAGCCCTATGACGCTCAGCCGTGGATGGCAGATTCGAATGTCTTACAATACCCCCCCACTTTCGGCGCCATGGAGAGGGGGAACAAAACATTGAACATGCGCACACATGACATCAACGCGGGAATGAGAGAAGCTGCATATCCGCCATGCCTCCTCTCTCTCTTGGCATGTTTGATGCGGTTAGAGTCTCCATTGTCTTGTTGCTCACTCGATATCAGCTCTTACACTCTTGCACAGTAAACGCACTTTCAATAATGAGTACGAAGTACATGGCGAGTTTATCAGACGGGGATCGAGATCCAAGTCAATGATGACGCCCATGTGGGGGTCTCTCTCGAAGCCCCGTCTGGCAGACTTTTAATGCTCTGCTCGTCCGTCATGTCGCCCTCTTTGACGTACTGAGACAATGAGAATCTGGCTTGGAATGCTAAACATGCAACTTTTTGACAGACAGGCACTTCACACCTGCATCCGCGATCCAGAACGGCAGCGGTACATCAGGTACGAACGCTGGTACCGTCGCAGCCCGCAGAGGTGGGACCGAGCCAGCTCCGGGAGAACGGGGGTGCCCTCCCACACACAATGCACTGGGACGCCACCCATCCCGGGCCCGCTAACCGTTTTCAGAAGCGTTGGATAAGGTTCTTGGGGGACCCCAGACTGGCGGGCTGACCGTAGATGAACTATGGACCTCCGGAAAGGTTCCAGCCAGATCATCAGAGCTAGATTGCGATTTTTGATTTTTGCTGCGCCCGCGATCCCACCCGGGTGAAACAGGGCAACGGGCAAACGGGCAGTCGGCAATTGCCTAGGCAATGGGCAATGGGCAACGGGGGCGGCTTTGATTGTGCGTTGGCTCCGAAAATAGGATGATGGCAGGCGCAACCCACGGCGCCCTTCACAACCTCGGATCCTCTCACCCATTTCGGGGCAGAGTCCCACGCGAGACAGTGGGTAACTCACCAAAACAAATTCCATGCAACTAACAAAAAACTTGTGGGCGGTCGGGCGAGCAGGCACGCAGGCTTCTCCGTCCGGGATCGCATGCACGCCCGCACCTCACCCGCATGCATTGCATGGGTGGGTGGATGGGCCGATGGGACATGGGGACAACGGGGACATGGGGCACTTCCATTCTTGTCAAGTTTCCTTCTCCTTCCCTTGTTTGTGTAGACCACTCACACACGCAGAGACGTACCTGCCGAACACCGCCGCCAGGACCCGGAATCTTGTCGCTCCCCACTCCTCGGGACTGATAGCGCCCTTGACTAAGGTGAGATGAAAGGTCGGGTATGGAGATAAGGTAACATACACAGTACATACAGTAGCAATGGCCCCCCTGCCTCCTAGATCTTGTCTCTTTTTTTTTCTTATATACCTTTGCTCTTGTCCCACCTTTGATCGCGCTTGATCACTTTCCCATCCCGTTGTTGTTGTTGTTTTTGTGAAGCCCTGTTTCCGACACCGACTTACCGAGTCCCCAGTTCCTAATCCCTATAACGACACCCCCCTTCACTTCGGCTTCCCTCCCTCCTCGGTGTGGTTCCTGTGAGAATTGAACTCCCACCCTAAATAATCACGACTCCTCCTCCTCCTCGCCGTCGCCATCCTCCGTCCCCGACACATCAGCAGCAAATCCCCCAATCGCCACGGTCCGCGGAGGACCCTTCTTCCTCCTCCTCTCTCATCTCCCCCCTCCCCCCCCCGCCGCCGCCCACCATGTCGACCGCCGACGATAGTAGCGGGAATGTCGGCACCGACCCAACCGTCCACGACCTCAACGCGCCCTTCAATGCCGGCGACCAAGCCTACATCATCGTGTCGGCGGCCATGGTCCTGCTTATGGTGCCCGGTATCGCCTTCCTCTACTCGGGCCTCGCGCGGCGGAAATCGGCCCTCTCACTCATATGGGTGACTGTCATGTCGTTTAGCGTCGTCGTCTTCCAGTGGTACTTTTGGGGGTACTCGCTCGCCCTAAGCAACACCGCCACCAACGGCTTCATCGGGAACTTGGATAAATTTGGCTTGCGGAACACACTAGGCGAACCGAGCCCCGGCTCACCGCTGATTCCGGAGCTTCTGTATTCGTTTTACCAGGTACGGAAAAACATCCCTAACATTGCCAGAAATGGAGGCTGGAGGACGGAGGACGCACGATGAAAGTTGCGGAGGCGGCGAGAGAAAGTTCAAAAAGTTTAGGGGGAAGGGCTAACGCGGGATCATGGGTCAATTTAGATGCAATTTTGCGCCGTCACCGCTGCCCTCGTCATCGGAGCCACGGCTGAACGCGGCCGCGTCGTCCCCGCCATGGTTTTCACCTTTTTCTGGGCCACTCTCGTCTACTGCCCGCTCGCGTACTGGGCCTGGGGCGCCAACGGGTGGGCCTTCAAGTACGGCGTTCTCGACTACGCCGGCGGCGGCCCCGTCGAGATCGGGTCGGGCGTGTCAGCGCTGGCATACTCGTGGGTGCTCGGGCGCCGCAACGAGAAGATGATGCTCAACTTCCGTCCGCACAATATCTCGCTCATCACCCTCGGCACCATCCTGCTGTGGTTCGGCTGGCTGGGCTTCAACGGCGGGTCTGCCTTCGGCGCTAACCTCCGCGCCACCATGGCCTGCTGGAACAGTTGTCTGACGGCCATGTTCGCCGCCATGACCTGGTGTCTCCTGGACTACCGCCTGGCCAAGAAGTGGTCGCTCGTCGGCTGGTGCTCGGGGACCATCTCGGGGCTCGTGGCCGCCACGCCAGCTGCGGGAGTCATCACACCGTGGGCGAGCATCATTCTCGGGGTGGTGGCCGGCGTAGCCTGCAACTTCGGCACCAAGATCAAGTTCATGATCGGCATCGACGACGCGATCGAAGTGTTCTCCGAGCACGGCATCGGCGGCATTGTGGGCCTCATCTTTAACGCGCTCTCCGCACCCGAGTACATCATCGGCCCAGACGGTGTCAATATGGGTGCCGCGGGCGGCTGGCTCAACCACAACTACCGCCAGCGATACATCCAGGTCGCCAACATTTTGGCCGCCTGCGCCTACACGTTTTTCATGTCGGCCATCATTGTGAAAGCCATCGACCTTGTCCCCGGCTTACACCTGCGCGCCTCGTCCGAGGCCGAGCTCCTGGGCATGGACGACGACCCAGCACGGCGAGTTTGCCTATGACTACGTCGAGGTATGTTTTTATCCCCCCCCATTCCCCACATAACCAACCCAACCACAGCCCACTAATTCTGCCCCGTTCAGGTCCGACGCGACTACCTAGCCTGGACGCCCGCCGAGCGCGACCCCAAGGAGGACGGCGTGGTGGTGGTCCCGCAGCACGGCATCGCCGGCCACCAGGACCTGGCCGAGAGCGCCCGCCTGCGCGCCCCCGGCACCGGCTCCTCTTCTGAACACCACCCCCCCCACCCACCACAGTAATGCTAGCCATAAGGGGGGCAGCGGGAGCGGGAGTGTGCCGGCTACGCCGCCGCCGGAGAGGGATTTGGAGGTGCACAGCAAGTTGGGGGTCGTGCCCGAGGGGGAGCTCGGGGGGTTGAGTGAGAAGACGGTTGTGGAGGCGACGCAGTGATTTTGGCTTTTTGGGTTGGTTGGTTAGTTGGTCGATCGAGCGTGTTGCTGGTGTTGCTGTTGTTGCTCTTTTTTGGGGGTATATCCGGGGATTGGGAAACCTGGCTTTTGGCTGGCTGGCGTGGGCGTGGGAGTTGGGGCGATTAACTAACTTGGGTTTTCTTTTTCTTTTTTTCACATTTCCTTTTCGGGTTTGTCCCTCTTGCCCTTTGCTTGGGGACGCGATCAAATCGATTGATTGCACTTTTCAGGTTGTTGCCGTGCCATATTGTGCCGTGCCGTGCTGTGGGATGGGTGCTAAAAGAGGGCGCCAGGTCGCCTGCTGCTGCTGCGCTGTTAACCTTTATATACCATTACAGACTTATTTATTACTTATTACCTACATACTTACCTCCCTATCCGCGTGCTTGTTTACTTACCTTACATTTTCATCAACCTATGGATACCGCGGTGCAGCAGGATCGATATTTTGGAGACGAGGTTGAGATTCGTGTATTGGCCAGGGCCGCCATAGGGCGAGGAGGTCTTAGGGGGAGGCACCGGTGATAGGGGTGGTCTGTGAGGGTTGGTTCTCGGCAGAGGGGCTACTTTGTACCTCGTTGCAGGTTGTTGCATGCTAGGGGGTACTTGTGGTCTGGGTTGGGGCGTTGCACTGTGGTACGCATCTCGGGAGCAACGGTGCTGGTGACATGGCGGATATGAACGGAAGATGGGAGTGCAAGGGGACGGACCTGGGATTCCTCGGCAGCGGGAGGAATGGGCGCTGGGCGAGCAATGTTTTTGATGATGGCCCCGGGGGTATGTATAAATGGCCATGTTGTTGTCGATCCCGGCCGTTCTACACCAACCCCATCAGTCTAGTCGGCCAGGCCGGGCTAGTGGGGCCGATGCACCCCCGGTGTCCGGACCGGCTCCGTCCTCCGGATGTGGGGTTCCGGGACATGCCAAGACGGAATGGCAAAATTGGATTGCCTAAACGGGTTGTTTGTGGATGAGATGAGAGAAAGCCATTATCGATATGTACATTAGCTTTGGAGGAGTATTGGAAAAAGATTCGGAGGTGCTGATTTGGACTGGGGCAGGACCCATTAGGGGGTGGCATGGTGAATTGCGTCCTGAATTCTATGGTGGCTTGCGTACCTAAGGAAACCAACTCAACTCCGTGTTCTATTTATTTAACACTAGATTATGGGATTTAAGGGCATAGAGCTTGATACGTTACCTAGCCGACATGATTGTTATGTCTTGAAATAATAGGTTATTCGGGGGCACTAGACGACTCTGAAGCCGGCTCAACGGTGGGTGTTGAATACCTACCCTAAACCACCTGGTTGGTGGCTTCGAGTGTCCCTGCGGCCATGTTTTGCAAACCCGTTGTTCGTCCGTGAGACCTGAGGCTCCTTAGTCCTAGCGAGCATGCTGGAAGGAGCGGCATATAGCCCGCCGGGTTGTGTTTACTTTTCAACAAATCCCACTAAGCTCTCGTGGCTCAGTGGTTTGGCTGCGAGTCGATTGTCCCTGGGAACAATAAGATCCTGTTTGTGATAATTGACTATAGCAGCACTTTTTTTTCGATCCCAGTTGATGACGCTTTTATTATTTTTCATGTTATTTGATCACAATTTTTGACTTTTTGACCGACCATAACGCGGCCAGTCAATTTGATCCGGGTCGAACTCAACCCAACATTTCTCGCTTAGTACCGCTAGCTTGATATATCTGACCCTTAGTTTATCTTTGTATTTAATGTCAAATTAGACATTTATAATTCTCTTTTCCGACATAGTCTAAACTAACTGGTACCAAGAGATCAAGGTTTGGTCAGCCCTGCTGGTCTGCCACGTGGGCACAGCTCGTCTCGGCGGTTATCATCACAATGTGATTGCCGCCCTGCTGAGCCCCCCGCCTTGGCTTGTTGGTTCTGTGATCCTTCTTGCCTCATAAGTCAAGTTGCACTCAACACACAACATTATTGGAAATACACTCACTCCCTTTATTCTTTCAATATATTTTTGTCGTGAGCTGACTGTGAGCCGGCCCCAGCCTGCTTGGGAGGTTCCCCGGATCTTAGATTCCGAAATCCATTCGTCGCGTCCCCTGTCGGCCAACTCCACCCAATCTCACAGTTCTCACGGCTTCATCTTCAGCCGAGGCTTCCACTCACCTCACTCTCCTTCCGACTCAACCATGTCACTTACCAATCGCCTCGGCCTCGGGTCGCAGGACCACGGCGAAAGCACCGGACTCATAGTAGCAGGAACTGCCATCGCTACCACCGTCGTGTTATCGCTCCTCCGCAGCTACCTCTCGCCGACGCAGCCCAAGGTCATCCGCTCACCCTTGCGCAGTGTTCTGCCTCGGCTCTCACAAGATGAATTCGATAAGCTCGAATACAAGCCCGACAACTTCCCCGGCGCACGAGATGTTGAGACTCCGGTACGTGACCCTGTATCACCACCCTAAACCACCAGCCACAACTGACTCACCCGCCTAGTACGGCTCCATTCGCGTCTATGAATGGGGGCCCCTGACCGGCGAGAAGGTTGTCTTCGTGCACGGAATTAGCACCTCCTGCATCACCCTCACCAAGCTGGCCAACGCCCTAGTCGAGGAGAAAGGCTGCCGCGTCATGCTCTTCGATCTCTTCGGCGCGGCTTCTCCGACAACCCCTCCGACCTGCCGCACGACGACCGTCTGTACACGACTCAGATCCTGATCGCGCTCGCTTCGTCGCCCGACCTCTCCTGGACGGGGCCCCAAGCCTTGCGACTAGTAGGCTACTCACTCGGCGGGGGCATCGCGGCGCATTTTGCAGCCGCCTTCCCGCATCTCGTCTCATCGCTCGTACTCCTAGCGCCGGCGGGGCTAATCCGGCCGGAGTCATTCGGCACGCTCACCCGCCTCATCTTCACCTCGGGGCTGGTCCCGCCGCGCCTGCTGACCTGGCTCACGCGCCGGCGCCTCCGCCGGCCCATCCGCTCGAGCGGCAAGCGCGGGAAGGCCGCCGCCGCCGCCGCCGCCTCCGCCGCCAACAGCACCAGCGGCACCCCCAACCCCAACCCACACCCCACCTCCTCCACAACCCCCAAACCCGACCCCGTCACCGCCGCCCTCACCGAAACAACCCGCCTCATCTCCGAAACAACAGACACCACCATCCCTCTCTCACGCGTCCTCCGCACCGTCCACTGGCAAACTAGCACCACCACGCGGGCTTCGTCC